CATTGTGCTATATATTTACTGTAAGATTACCTGGTAACTAACCTATGCATGAACATCAGGAGGAGAAGTCGATTGAGGATATTGACAACGAAGGCAATTTATTAAAATGCGATGACTGTATTTGTAACAATTAAACAACACTAATGATACTGCCCAGGGTTGGGATACATAGAATAGAATATAATACAATTTGCACTACTTAGTTAAGCAATATGATAATTCTGTAATTATCTTTCTGAGATTTGCAGTGGGTATTTCAGAAGAGAATAAATAATGGCAAAGCCATGAATTATCAAAAATCCATATTGTCTGTTGATCCAGGCTGACTCAAGGGAATCCATACTCACTGATGGATTTTTTCATTTATCATTCATCTACTGATGAGGCTGCTTTTTATACACACACACACACAGACAGACTTTTCACAGATACTTATTTTATTGTAACATGCATTTAAGAAATCTCTTGTGGTGACTCACAGCCATTATAGGTTTTGTCCCCTTCTACCTAGTACTTTCAAGCTGAGTTTTATAACCAAACACATAGTAAGCAGCAAAAATAGAAGATCCATTTGTTATTAAGCGAAATTATATGGCTGAGTGTGGCTACTGGAACTTAAAATATAAAACAGGGCTTAAGAGTTATTTCCTGAATCAATAGAAAGGATTTATTGACTAGAGGGGAGGGAGGGCAGTGCAGAAGGCCCATTGTTTCTGTTTAAAGAAGCAAGATGAATGCATTTAAAATGTTAACATCCTGGCTGAAAGTGTAATGTATTTTAGTGATTAATAATGCCTGTAAAACTAAACCATGTACCTAATACAGAATAATAAAATAAATAACAAAGCAGACCTCTTTAAAGTGTGACAATAAATGATTGTTTTAAGGTGTCTGATAATAATATTTTCTTCCACCTAACATATCATATTGTTTGGTTCTCCCATGTGCCTCCTGCTGGGCCTGACAAGTGCTGGAATAGCATACGTATAGAGATGAAAGGCAAAGTGTGGGCATGTTGGGGGGGAGGCATAATGAAAAATAATCTAAAGGAGGAAACAGAGATGAAAGGAAAGAAGGAAAGTTGAACCATGCACTAGATGAAGACAGTAAAATGAGTTTTAGTGGAAAGTCCTTCAGTTAGTACCTCCCAAAGCACCAGCTCCATGAAGAAGGTGGCCAGCTCGACAGATTGGTGATGGGAAATTGAATTCATTCCTGTTATTAGCTGTACCACATTTGGTCAAAGGCAGTAATAACCATATGACAGCTATTTGGAGACTTATAGAAAAAAAACCCATTTTAATCCAGTCTGTGGTAAACAATAGGTCAGTGTTTACTATTAGCAAACAGTGTAATACTGATGCCGATGTACTGTCAGTCCTGGCTGTTTCTTTGCCTTATTTTTGGCTAAGAAGACACTCTCTTATTTCCTACTTGTATGGCTGAGTTATTGCTGTGTGGAGAATGGCTCAGGAAATGGGAAAATAAAATTGTTCACAGCGTTTTTTATAATAAGCAAACATGTAAAAATTTCTTTATTGACTCTTCTTAATAAATACACTTTTACAGTGGAAATTATAATAAAATAATCAAATGTGTGTGTTTTCTTCTAATTCTTAGGGGGAGTGTTGACCAAACAGCAGGAGAGCTGATAGTGTCTAGCCAGGATCTGAGGGAAAGGCTTGTACCAACTGTCATGTCAAATCTCTTATTGACTTTATGGCATAAAAGATCCTTCCCAGAAGTAGAAATTGTTTTTTCCTGCCTTCTTCTCTGAGCCCTGGCATGCAAGGGTTGTTTTGGGTGGTTGCATGAGTAGTTGTTACTCTGTACCAAGGAATTCTTTGCTTCTGACAGGTGCCAATTATGCTGTGGACATCTGCCCTGGAGGTATTGAATCAAGCTGACAACTCATTTTATATCAATCAAACAACAACCATTTTCAATAATTTCCCATCCAGCTGGGACTGAATTTGCAAAAGTGATCTATGTATTAAAGACATTACCAATCCACAGAGACATTCATAACCGTGATTATGTTCTGTTTTCCCACAGAAACTCTTGCATCTGCACAAGAAAGCAACAACTTCTTCCACTACGCAGGAGGATGCTGACAACTCAATTTTGGTCACTTGCTGCCAAGCTCAACTTACAACAGTCAACTCACATCAGACTAGAAGGGTATTTTTGCTTGCCATCTGCAAATCCCTTCTGTTGATCCTCCAATCGATGGGAATCTGTAAGGTAATACTGAAATATTCACTACTGTTTAGCCACTGCAATGGGCGGGTTTTTAATAAATGCTTAGTACGGTTTTTTTAATCCTGTTTTTTGGGTAGAAAAGGAGAGCGGGGCTTATCCCCAAACCACTATTAGGAACAAAAGAAAATGTAAAGCAGAAATGCGTTCCAGATTGCAACTTTTCTTTCCTGTAATAGTTTATTTTCAAAGTGGTACCGGCACCAGCCAAAATCTCATTCTGCTTTGCCTGAAAAACATTAAGGTAAGTGAGGGATGCAGATAATACCTTTTCTACAGATACATATTTTTTAAAATACACAGTTAATCAGAAAAAAACCTAGCACATTCCATTCCCTTTTTGCCCTGTTAAACCATCATGTTACCTATATGAACTTCCTTCAAATACTTTATTTAATAGGACTGTATACTTGGAGGCAAGGAACTGGTAAAACGTTCTTCTGGAAAGGACCAAAAACATGCCCCTTGCTAGTGTTTGAACTACATTTGCCAGCTGACTGGAGCTATAGGTGACAAGTAACCTACAGACCTTAGCAATATGGTTAGCAAGCCAGACCAGTAGGCAGGCTCACCTTCTTCTTGTATTCTGTCAAGTGCTGTGCTCTGCTGTTTGCATAAGGGGACCAGCTTTTATTATTCTATTCTGTCCCCAGTACTGTGCACCAGGGCAGCACAAAGCAAAATCTAGTGCTTGGATATAGTATTTGCTTGCTAACAATTGTTATATTTAAGGCTGCACTAAGACTTCTGTCTTAACCTGCTGTTCTCCCATGCTCGGAATATTCTTAAAAAAAAAAAAAATCCCTTTCATGTGAAATTTTTCATGCTTGTTATCAGCTGAAATATGATTTTTTTGGCAAGCCTGAATAAAATTCATTCATTCATATTTGAATTATGCAAGGAAGTGGGTGTGGGGAGAAAGGTCTCTTCTTTAGCACATTCATAATTCACAAAAAAAGCTGCATATTACAAGCTGAAACTTTCCAGGTGGCTAGTTTTGACTGAAGGGTAGTCTTCATGCTAATTACAAAGAGAGAATGACTGAAAGAAAAATGAAAGAGAAAAATTAAAAATGACACATATTGTGATTAACTCATTTGTTTTGTAGGTGTGTCATACAAAGTTCCATTGTGAGCCACTTAGAGCAAGTTTAAAGTAACAATTTCATTTAAGTTACAATGAACTACTATAATTACATAATATCAATGTTTTGTGCTGCAATTTCACTAAGAATTTCCCTACAGAAGCTGCAGAAGCTTTTACTTATGCAAATGTGGAAGCTCACAGTGAAATCAGTGCAGAATCTTATGAATCATTAACTTTGGCCAGAATGCCAGTCTGGGGAAGGGGGGGAATGGTGGCAGTAACTCTCCCTGTGCTCTGGGTTTCCCTGAATGCTGACCTGCTGAGGAAAATAGCTCTGAGTTTTTGCAGTTTGTTCTAACTTACTACACTGACTGTGAGGGACACCACACCACTAAAGCTTTGTTATTCTCTTTTCCTTGCTATATTCCCATATACTAGTGGACATAACAGGTGGCACATGATCTGATCAGCACTGTGTGACTGACTCTCCACAGTAGCAAAGAATTACTGCAGTGGAGGGTATGTGGGTAGCAGAAGTTTGGAGTGTTACAACAGTCTCAACCCATGGAGAAAAGGTGCTGTGACGTGCAGTTCCATGCTCTCATAAAACACCTGGAAATAAAATACAAGCATGTAAATAAAGCAATATAACTCTAATTTTAAACATCTGAAGGTATAACTGGCAATGGTTCCCATAGTAATTTCTGACCTTGCTCCAGATGGAGCAAATATGAGTTCAGACTAAATTTAGTTCTACCCAGCACTAAATTCCCAGTAACCTCTTGAAAGCAAAATAAGAACTGTTAGATTCAGTGCAGGAATTCTCATCTGTTTTTTTTTCTTCTGAGTGAAATGAGGAGAAATACATTTTTCCCAGTGATGCTGCTTATTTTTACAAAACAAAACAAGTGAATGCTGAGACACACTAGCTTCTGTAAATAGGAATTTAAAACTTAACCTTTATTATTCCAGGTTCCCATTCCAGGAACGAAAGGTATTGATCCAGTCACTGTGTGGATGGATGATACAACAATTGCTAAATAGAAAAGTGACAGCAGTCACTATGGCCACATAAGAAGTCCCTGGTCTTACATTTACAGTCATTGGCGTATACTGATCAAACCTCAGCACTGGGGAATAAATGGATAAAAGTTATATCTGATTCAGATTTATAAATTATCTATTTGAGGCAAAAAGGGAAGAACTGCTTGGCAGCTACAAGTGCTAATGAGAGTAAAAACAGATGCAGAGCTATCAAGAAAACATGGCAACTATTATTCGTCTGAACGCTTGATGTTGCACAAGGTGTTAATGCCCCAGCAACCATAACAACTCTGCTAAAGTACATTACATTCATCAAAGTATAACCAATGGGATACAGCACACTGGCATTGTGTCCCCTGCCTTTCACCAGCCCAGTACTAGAATGACTCTATAGGTGTGTGTCTTACAGCAGGTATTTCTTGCTGGAGACCCTGTTTTGGTAGACAGCTTGGAAGAAATTACTGATCTTGTACTTGACCCAGTATATTGCAAGTTATGTTCAAAGTATTTTTAATAGTCTGTGATTTTCTTCGTCAGCTCTCTCTCTGTGATTATGTTCTGCAAGTACTCAAAGTAGTTTCCTCTGAAAGCTACTTGTATGATAGTTACCTTAACTCCCAAGGATTGCAGTGCCCAAGACGTGTTAACTCCAGTTGGATTTTTACTTGACTATTTTTCTTATTTGTACCCTTGCATGCACCACAGTTCAATGACTGCAATTTGAGCACTCCTTTCTATCTAGCTGAACAATCCTCCCCAACACACCACCATCCTGATGTGTAATCACTCAGGAGACATAATCATTCACTTAGAACTAAAATAATTCTCCTACCATTTGCTCCTTGCCTCCATTCTGCCCTTTTTCTCTGATTTATTGCACTTATATTCCTTATGGAAATATTTTGACATCCATCCCCTCTATTCAAGTCTTGTACCCACCCTTGGAGGGAGTGCTTTGAACAGAGGAAGGCCAGGATGAGTGTGTATCTTATATACTCACCCTTTTATTCCAGTGTCATTTCCCCCACCTCCTCATTATATTCCTGATCCCTTCCCCTCCTTCTAGTTTAGCTGTGCCTACTGTCTCTCCTACAGCTACCAGGAGTCCTCCCTTCCCTCCCCTGCCCCTCTAGTAAATGTCAGAAAATATTTCCTCACAGCCTGTGCTACTCAGGATTGTGTCTGAGTAAAGGGATCCTGAACCCCAGCCTTGTCTAAGCTCTCTAAATCACTTGACCCCAAAAAGGTTGCCACAGGACAGCACTTATCTACAGCGCAGGCTGGAAAGAAAGTGCTGCTAATGCACTGATTTCCTTCAGCTCCGAGCTTTGCATCTATTTAGACTGCAAGAAAGTATTTAGTGAGCCAGAACACTGAAATTGTTCCTCTTCAAGCTTAGTCAAAATTACTGTGAAATTCCTTAATTAAAAAGTTCAAGCTGAGAAGCAAAATGCTTTTGAATTCAACCATCACAGTGCCCCACTCAGTACTGTACCTTCTGCCTCTTCTTTATTGCTCCCTTCATGTTCTCATGTTACCTTACGTGCTGCCTGTTGGTTTTGCTTGTTACGAGTGTCCCCCCCGACTGCCACCCCCACACTGCATCGACAAGCAGAAAGCTCTTTATGCCAAGTGTTGACGTAGTGGTGTGCACCAGCCCAGGGTGGAAGAGCATCTTGAATTTCTTGCTCCCCTGGGAGCATTTGATTAAAGGAGGATTTTCATGGTGTGTTGAGATTCAGAACGTGGCTGCTATTCAGTAACTGCTGGTTGCAGTTCTGAGCCTGAATGCATGCTGAGGCTCTGCTGGTTTTGTGGCAATAAGCTGAGTCCTGGGACAATGAATTCTGCACGATTTTCCCCAGTGTGCAGAAGAGCAGAAACAAGACCATGCTCACACTCACTGCCAGGCTGCTGTTTTTGCACTCAGGGACACAGGCTTCACCAGATTTTTCACTGATTCCCTATAGGAGGCTTCCTGACCTGCTCTCTAAATGGGTCTCTTGGATCTAAAGAATTTGACTCAGCTTCAGTGTTACTGGCAGTGTGTGAGGTCAGTTTGGAAACATTTGGAAACTCCCGACTGAGGACATTTCAGGAGTGTCTGCACTACTCTCACACCTGCACAGGCCCCAGAACAGCACTTGGAAATGTTGGATACCTCACAGCACAGTGTGCCTTTTACAGACCTCAGTAGGCTGAACCTGATACACAAATACTCACATGTGCTTCTCACTGTGCTCAGAGGAATACACAATCTAAATTAATTTCTGCTATTATAAATCTAGAAAAACTTTTCTATAGCCCAGGAGATGGTTCTGGAGTCACAACAGAGACGTGTTGTGTACAGATGTACAGAATACAGTTCACAATTTTCTTTCTTTCTTCTGTTCCTAGTAATTGAAGAGTTAATTACTAAAAACTATGCTTACAATGAAACTTGAGGAAATCAGAATATTTGAAAAGGAGATATGTATTTCCTTTATTTCCTATGGTTTGATTTAGGGATTTGCAAACTTACCACTTCAGTCTGAACTCATAAAGCAGAACGATTACTTTAAAATTAAGTTGACAGTGCTTTGGGATGAATTATGGATACTTTCTTTGGCTGCTGACAGTAATTTCATTTGGGATATTCTTCTCGCTGAGAAGCTGTAAACAACAAGACTCACAACAGCAGAAATACAAATAAAGAAAAACAACTAGAAGAATTAGATCGGCTACAATAATAATAATTTTCATGATGAATTTGGCTCCTTTGGGTCTAAACCAAATATGTTTATTTTTTAGAATTGTATTTATTTCATAATCTGTATTTTTCAATTTACTTATCCACAGTGAATATATCCATGTGTATGTGTTTTCCCTTCAAGAATTACTACGTCTCCACCATGAGGAAAATAAAATAAAACTTTTCAAATCACCATAAAACTAAATCTGCAAGAGGGGAATTTTAGTGTTTTATTTTACATACCATATAAATGTAGCTTTCCCTGGGTCATTTTTTTCCACAACTCCTTTTTGTGCTAACTTGTTAAAAATTGTGTCACAGGACCCCAAGACTACAAGGAGCTGTTAAACCATTTACCCAAGAGACCAAACACAAGCACCACCAGGGGAAGGATTAGTGAGCAGGATGCTCAGACACTCATTTTTAGCTTGGAGTGGCCACAGCTGATTGCAGTTACATCTGGCCACTGGATGTGTGCCTCTCCATGTGAAAACTGGGGACACTGAAAAGTTAATAAAAGCATTTTCCAACTCCATAAATGCATTGCAGGGCACACGACATTCCTTTCTGCTATGGTGATGCATATGACTGTGTATCTTGTGCAAGCAGTTACCAGAGATACAAACCAGGAAGTGGATGTTAAAAATAATTGTATTATTAAAGGAGGAATCAATTAAGAGATAAATATACCCTTAATAATAAGAAAATATGATCAGTAATATCAGTTGTATATCTTTTCCATCATCAGAGTGCTTTAAAAACCTTCACATTTACTCACAGTATGTCTCTCTGATACAGGAAAACAAGGCTTTGTTCAGGTGGTGAATGAAGTAAGAGTGCAAAGGACTTGACCACAGAGTATCAGCAAGTCAGTAAACTAAAACTCTATGCTATCAATAAAATCCTTAAAAGAATCTCTGTTTTTAGTTGAGTTTCAGGAATTTTATGGGCAAAGACTTGAAAATTATGACCAAGCCGGCTCGCTCTTCTAGCTTCATGCTTGATATGCAGTCTGCGGAAAAAATTGGAAATTATCTTGGAGCTTCACATAGCTACCATGCCTGACCTGTCCTAATTCATGTAAGATGTTTCAAAGAAGCAAGTTGATAATGATCCAGGCATTCATAGCATGCATGTATTTGCCTTGTCATAGTATTATTCTCACATAGTCTTTAGACAACCTCAAACAGTACAAAACTCAGCATTTGCATTGCCATTATAAAATTTCTTACTTTTAAAATCTAAAGATTGCAAAGAAGCTATTTCAGAGAGCAAACAATAGAATATTTAGAAGAAGGAAGCAAACGTTTTGCCAAAATCATTTTGGGAAAAATAAAAGCCTTCAAGGATTTTGAAAAAGGTAAATGTGGAGCTTAAAGGAACTTTTACCAGATTCAACCATAGCTGCATTTGAAAGGTAAACTGTGAGAATTCAAAAAATTCCAGGCAAGGAGATTCCCCTTACTTTAGAAATCTATATATTTTAGGCATATTTTTCCATAACACTTTGTGATATTACATATCACAGTACTTTGTGTTGTCATTTACATGGGTGAAGTAAAGACTGGCAGCAATTCGACTGATCACTTTCAACTGAAAAACCACACAAGATGCTGACACAGAAAATCACCCCTTGATTTCTTGAGAGTTAAATTGCATCTGCAAACGATGTCAGGTTCCACTTGGAGTAAGCTCTGGTGTCTAGTGCATTTCTGCCACTGGTTATCTTTCTTTTTTGTTTCTTCAGATAAGATATACTTGCATTCTAGCTGCTAATGAAAGAAGAAGATAATCCTGAAATGCTTAGTCACTTTTATACTTTTTAACTGATGCTGTGAAGAAGTGACAGAATCCTGTAGTTAACATGATTCAAAAGATAAGGGGGAGGAGAAGGTGGAGAAAGATTATATAAAATGGATTTATATTGCTTCTACAACTGAATTGTTTTTAGTATAATGTCACGCTCTTAGTGTGGGGGATTCTGCATGTGTCGTGATTCTGCAGATGTTCTGGCACACTACACGCAGCTGCACTATTTGTCATGGGCAAATTTAATAGCAAGATGCTTGTTACATGTTCCCCCTGTTCTTACTTCACAAAAAACATCAAGGGGAAAGTAATCCACTACCTGGTAGCTTGCTTGCTTCCCTTCTTTATACAGCCTTTTAAAACACTTTAAAACAAATTTTGGAAACACCATCTTTTGTACTACATTCTGTAACACCTGCAATTACAGATCTGTTACTTTTGCTAGAATGATTTTGTTCTTTCTAATGGTTATATTGCTAATTAAGTAATTTTAAGTACTTGAAAAGGTCATATTCCTAACAGTGGTGGGGGGTCTTCAAGAGCTTCATCCTTCAAAAGGGAGAATACTTTCTGGTAAGTACTGAATATCCTCTGTTCTCAGTGACTGCAGATGAAACTCAGAAGCACTCCATGCAGCAGTATGGCAGAGCCAAGTGCTGTCAGAAATTTTGCAGAGTCAAACTCAGAAGAGCTCTCCCACCCTTCTGATCTTAAAATCCTGTATTCTTTCCTCTAAGTATTCTCTTTCCTAAACTTTGTTGGTCCAAGGCCAGTGTGTTAATCAGCTCTTCGGGACCATACCCTTGAGTTCCAGCTTCTTGCCAATGTATTCAGAAAGTAGAACAATATTTTGCAAAAAGAAAAAAATATTAAAAAAAGCAAATTTTTTTCTCTTGAAAAGCCTATAACGTGCTGAAACATGGGTTGTCTGGTTAGTGGCAAGGGAGGTAACTGAAGAACTGGCAGCGCAAGGAGAAATTTGGACTTCAGAAGAACGAACTGAAGTAGAAGCAGATCCAACTTAACGAAACAGGACAAAACTCAAGAAGACAGTACAGCTGTAGAACAAGTTAAGGGTGTTACACTATCAGCAAGTATATGAACAAAAAACAGATGTTATAAATGAAAAATTTTCATGTAATTACTGTATCTCCTACAGTACAAGAAAGACATTAACCTACTGGTGCTACTCCAGTGGGAGCTGTAGCAGGGAGCGTGCTGGGAGAAGCTGAGGGCGCTGCAGTTCTTCAGCCTTGAAAAGGCCAGGAGGGCAGGAGGATTTGTTGCTGTCTGAAAATACTTCCCCGGAGGCTACAGAGAAGACAGAGCCAGGTTCTTCTTAGGGGTGCACAAGGACAAGAAAGAGGCAACTAGCAGAAGTCAGAGCAAGGGAAATTCTGACCAGGAATTAGGAAAAATTATTTACCTCATTCACCATGAGGGTGGTGAAATATTGGCAGAGGGGCCCTAGGAGGTTGTGGCCCTCTCAAGGTGAGATCCCTCCAGATGAGGAGGTCTGTATGTCCTCTCCTTGAGAGTAATCACACTTAACAGATTACCTAGATATTAATATCTATACTTGTAACATTAAAGTATAAATATATTTACAAGTATGGTTGAAACTGTGAGTGCTTACAAAACACACAAGAAAAGATGGATCAACAGAGTATATTTTTTTTTGCCAAGGAAAAATCATGTTTTTAAAAGAAATATTTATGTACTGTTGTATGGGAGGTATTTTAAAGCATCTTGAATTTTTCACATCTTCAAAAAACTGCATATACATAAAATACGTAGTCATGTATCAAGTTGATGAGAAAGTTCTTGTTAGGAGGAAGCTGATCAGATAATTTTAGAAATGTATAACAAGTGTTTCTGTTATTAAAAATGTGCATCTGTGAACACAGACTGTCAAAGAAAATGGAATATTCAGTGAGTCTTTTCAGAAGAAAGTCAGCAAATAGCATTGAAACATGCAATAGATATGTGAAGATATTAGTTTCCAGTCTTCAGATGATTGCTTAGCTCAAAAGTTAAACAGATGTGACTATGACATCTCTCATTCTGTTTCTAATCAATCTCTAAATATATATATGAGATCAAGCTGTGTTTGTGTACAGAGCCAATTTCAGAAATTGTTGTGAACTGCCTCATGTAAAACCTATCTGACAGTGTCTGTGAGTGTGCGCGTGTGTGACGTGTCTTAGATTCAAACATGTATTCTTAGTTATCCTATACCTTTATGAGGTTACACAATGGTCTTCTGCAGCTACACGAATTTTTAACTTAGCACTACAACCTATAGCTCTCAATTTAATAACTACAGTATTCCTGCTGATTGTGCAAATTACATTGACGATGAAAATCAAACACTTTTTGTTAGCTGGCCTCCTGATGGCAATGAAGAAATACAAGTCAATCAGACCTTGAATTATTCTAATTCAAAAAAAGTTAGGAAAGTGTGAATGCTTCCAAGATCTACTGCTCAGTCATGATTCTGCAGTCATAGAAGGGTTTGCAAATCCTTGCTGAACTCTGCAATTCACAGACTAAAAGGGATTTCATAGCCCAGTAAACGTGATTTAGCCATTATTATCAAAAAGCAACAAGGTTTGTATTGACATGATAGTATATGGACTCAGAAATTCCCTGGGTTTGTCTGGGCCTAAATAGATTTTAACTTGGTTTAGTTGTGATAGCAATTGTTCAGCTGTGAGGCTCTCTTGACTAAATTTTAGTTTAACTCTAGTTTATGGTAATAACAAATGGTTATTCATTGTGGACTGAAATGCCTACAGCTCTAGAGTCAGCTGTGGGAAAGAGTGCAGACGCAGATGACACAAATAAGTCATTTAATCACAGTAAGCTGACAGTGTTAAGAAAACATAAAACTAAATCAGACACCAGACTGAGGAGAAAGACATCTCCTTCCCATGAGTATCACGCTCCTCCTGGTGATAACTCATTGTAGTACTCCCCCATTCCTTTTGAGAGATACCAAAGTGTCAGTCTTAAGACCCAAAGGAACACTGGAGGAATAAGCACAAAGCCAGAGAATAGGGAACTTTTTATGTAGCAATTTTACCCCTATTTTTAATGAAGTCTTCCACTACTCATTAAATAATTTTGATTATTATACTGTTTAAAATAGTAATTGGACTACCAATAAATTCTTACATTCATTTATATATTGTGCTTTTTGCCAATACCTTTTTGTAGGCTCTGAGTGTAATACTACATTAAACATTGCTAACATCTTTAAGGACCTGGAAGCTGAAACAAATACCATGAAGATCACTGAAGCTCACAAGCACTTTGGTAAGTTGCAGTCAATGCTGCTGTGCTCTATTTTCTCATGGACAAGCTGAATGAAATCAGTCCAGTGAATCAGCTTTCATTCGAGGTTACCACTCAGGAAGAGGTCAGTGTGTTTGCGTACTGCTGTTTTAATCTAGTTCTACCACTGGCTTACCACTTTCCCTCTGGTCACAGGCTGCATTTCACAAGGCAGTGCAGTGAGCAAAACCCTCTGATAACATGAGGCTCGGTGTAAAGATCCCAACTGGCTGTATGACACGCTCTGCTATCATTTACACTGGTCTGTTTGAAAGGGTAAAGCTTACTTTCCCAGCCCAGTTAGCTCTCCCAGTACAGCACGACCCCTGCATGGGCTCCCATTTACAGCTTTGTGTACGTACACCTGTACGTGTGGCCAGGCAGCCACAGAGCAGCCCTTTGCCTTATGATTTTGAGGCCTCCCTTCTGTGCCTTCCTGCTTCACCACAGTAAGAGGGAATATGGACGAGTTCGTGTACTTCTGCTTGGGTCTCCTTGCTGTAGCTTGAGCTGTTCATGCTACCAACTGGCTCTGCCAGGCCACTGGAAAACTCCCTCCTCAGGCAAGAACATCAGCCTGAAATGCTTCCTACAAACTGTGTTTGCTCTGAGCCAGTCCAGGCTGCTTTCTCGTTAAGGACAGAAAAGCATGATGGCTTCACAGACATTGCTGTGGCCACAGAGGGGGGCACCTCTGCAGGGGCAGTCAGTTTTCTCACTCTCCACTTTTCATCCTCATCTCAAACACTGGGAAACGCATCTACTTTCAAAGTAGCTCTTCATGTCCCAAGTGCTGCTGCCACATGTATATATTCCTCTTAGAACGAGCTGAACGGAAAGAGTATTGTATAACGATCTCTCGTTTAGCTTAAAATGTTATCTTTTCCTTCACTGCTTTTTGTCTGTGAGCAGTATGCTGAGTCTTGTGCAGCTGTGTTCTTGCTCTTATTTGGCATAGATCTCTTCTAAGTTTTGCACCCATACCAAGAGTTTCCTACTTCCCTTTGAAAAGAGCGAGAAATGGGTACAGAGCAGAGGAGCCAAAAGCCTATGTGGATGTGAGCCACAACTATGATGAAAATATTAACCTGATAAAAGAGGTTTCTTCAGCTTCTAGTGCATGTGCTGTGAGCCAGAAAGTAAAAATCACAAATGGAGAAGAGAAAGGGAAGACAGAGAAATTCAAATTCAGCTGCTGACCCTACTTGTTTTCAGAGCACAGAATATCTACGGTACTGAAACATAAATCAGCCAACCAGTGAATTCCTGTCCAGTCTCCTCAAGGTCATCTAAAAGTCACCTACAAGCATCTCACACGAGGACATGCGCAATGGCTGACTTCAGCAAGGTGCCAAACACCCACTCTGGCTGAGGCTGGGATGCTCAGAATGCTCACCACCATGCATGGCTGGGCCCTGCCTTTATTTTTCTGATTGAGCTGTGTAAACAAGACACAGTTCTGTCTAGAAAAAAACACTCTATATTAATTATTTAGAAATTAACAGGTGTTAAACCAATTGCCATTATCGGGCATGCCAACCTTTAGAACAAATCTAGCATTAAACCATGGATATCTATAGGGAATTCCCTTGGATCATTTGATCAAATTATGCTCTTAAAAGTACACTTCAAAAATGTCATCCTGGTGTAGGAGGAACAGAAAGAAAATAAGGCAATGAAATTAATGGAAATTTAGAGAAATGAAATGTTGTCTCATGTATTTTGACAATGTAGGCATCAGTAGGTTTGCCAGACAGATCAGCTTCAGATTTGACTTGAGCAAATTAAGCTAATCTAAAGCACAAGCTACTTGCTAGTCATTTTTCTGGGTTTTGCCTCTTGAACCATTTTACAAGTTTATTTACATTATAACAGCACTGGTTGTGCTTCTCCCATGTTTGAGGTCATTCCCCAGCCTCTGGGAAGAAAGTTGGCACTTGACAACATGGCCAATTTCTGGCCACAGAGGTGTTTTAAGTAACAAGGTGGGCAGGCAGGAACAGCAAAAGGGGGAAAGCTGTGAGGATGAAGACTGCTAAAACAGTCAGGTATAGATAGCAAGAGGAAAGAGCCCTGAAATGCCTGAAGAGACATTTCTGACAGAGAAATCCCACTGCAACAATTGTTTAATTGTTACCTTGCTTTGCAAACAGCACTATGTAGGCACCTTTACTTTGCTGGCATCTGCTGCTGCACCCCATTTCTTTCAACAGTAAGACATCAGGCACAACAAGGCATAACTGAAGGATCCAGATGGTCTTTGGCATCTGCAGTGAGTTAGGAAGAAAAGATGTTTTCATTGTTTTTTCAGATCTTTGTCATGGTTTAACCCCAGCCAGCAACTAAGCAGAGCACAGCCATTCACCTACTCCCCCACGGCAGGATGGAGGGAAGAGAACTGGAAGGGTAAAGGAGATAAACTCATGGGTTGAAATAACAGCAGTTTAATAATAATAACACCACCACCAATTAAAAAAAAAAAGGAGAGAAATAAAACCCAAGACAAAGCAATGCAAATTAAAAACAATTGCTTACCACCAACAAGCCAATGCCCACCCAGTCCATGAGCTGCAGTCCCCGAACCGCAGTCTCCAGCCAACTTCCATCTCTAGTTTATTTTGAGCACGACGCCTTATGCTATGGAATATCCCTTTGGTCAGTTGGGGTCAACTGTCCCAGCCGTGTTTCCTCTCAACATTTGTGCACCCCCAGCCTCCTCACTGGTGGGGTGGTGTGCGGAGCAGAAAAGGTCTTGACTCTGTGTGAGCACTGCTCACTAATAATTAAAACATCCCTGAATTATCAACACTGTTTCCAGCACAAATCCAAAACACAGCCCCATACTAGATGCTATGAAGAAATACCTCATCCAAAACCAGCACAATCTTAAACTGAATTTGCTGGACTGGGAGGTGTTTGGTGGTGTTGGGCTTTTTGCTTGTGAATGTGACAAATTTGAGTGAAGCCTAAGAACATTTTTACGGATTACTTCGGAACAGGTTTATACTTTATACTGTCTAGCCTCACACGACATGCTGTGACTTGATTTTGCATTATTATGATGATTTAATACAACACTGAGTAATAGAGATTGTAGTGAATTCAGGTTGGAGAATCTAAACATCAGTCCTCTCATTTGATTTTCCTAAATCTCTTTCTGATCTAAGCACCTAAATATCCTCAGTCTGGTCATGATCCATACCTTGACCATCCTCTACCAGAGAACAGAATAATTCTAGGCCATTAAGGCACTTGCCCATATCCATTTCATCTGCAAGATCTTCAGAGGTGCAAACAAAACACTGGATGGGAAGATTTGCTAATGCTGATAGTACTTTAGATCACTGGATAATCTTTTTCCTGTGTTAGTTATTACTGAATGGAAATCAAATGCATGCATGTTAGAACTAGTAACAGATGGCACTTCTGTTCTATGAGGAAGAAATAGGGGCAAAGGGGCAGCAAAGTTGAACCTCCCCCCTTCCCGGTCTTACCAGGATTCATTGTGTTGCCCTCCTGTTACAGTTGGCTGTGACTCTTTCTTGTTATAAAGAGATGTCAGAAGTTAGAGAGAGACAGACGATAACCTTAAATCCTTTACTGCATTTTACCAGGATTCTGAAAAATAAAAAATAAAAAAATAAAAGCCAGCTGAGGGAGTTGGAAAATGTCAGTGAGGCATTACACAAAGAACTTGATACATTTGTTGACCTTTCTTCTTCCTCCACCCTTCTCCTCTAAGATGGATTTAGTAGTAGTGAGTGCTTAGTGCTTTAAGTGCTTTCTTAAAAATAATTTAGATGCTATTGTCTGTCTGCCTGCTACTTGGAAAACATAGCTGTTTCAATGAGCCCCTGCTGAAACGGAAGAAAGAGGGTTTATTGAAATGCCTCCAAAAATGCACCAAAATTTCATTCTTTTCCTTGTCAGCTGAAACCCATCTTGTTCTTGCCTTTACAGTCTTTTGTTTTATTTTTTTAATTGTACCATTGTATTGAGGGGCTTTTCATTCTTTTCCGCTCTTTTACGAATGGCATGTGTGGTATTAAGAGCTGAAGGCAGAGACGAGAGGAGAAGTGTTTTGAACTGACTAATTTGCAGGCAAGAAATAAAGCTCTTGTAAGGTGGTCCCAGGGGTATCTTTGCCATGAACACTATTTGAAATGACATGTAATCTGGTACATTTCAAAGGCAAAACATTTCCTATTCTAAAGTATCTTCCTGAGCCAGGGTTGGTTTACCTGTTTCCAGAGAATAATAAACTCCATTGGGACCAAGGGAACTCCTTCTCTCCCCTCTCAAAATTCCTGTTCTTTTTCAAAGGGGCAATTGCAGCCAACAGTTTATTTCTGTCCTATCTTTTCCTGCTCTAGTGGCTCAGTGCTCCCTACTAATACATAGCTGAATGCACCTCTGGATTCACACAGCACATCCGTGTACAAAGAGAGAAATAATGGTGTGGAGCTCTCTTGTTGTTTCTTTTAACAGTGGAAAATTTAGATCTGGTTCTAACAGACTTCTAAAATTTTAAGCATTTTGCCATATGACTTTGATCTGGCAATTTCTTAAGAGAAACTGTTCCTCTTCTAGAGAAATCTGAGCTCAGCTGACCTTGGAATGCTGTATTAATACTCTTTCTCAGCATAATTTAGTGTTTCTAGCCTTATTGACATACTAAAAGGCTTACACACAAAAGTCCACATTTAATTTGTCAAAGCAGACATTTCAAAAAAACCTTATGTTAAAACTTTGCCATATTTTGGTGAAAGCTTAGCTGGTCTTCTAAGCTGGCACACTTAATCATCATCTGTGAACATATTCATATACTCTGAGGAGTGTTTCTATATGTTCATGATTTAAGCTTATGATATCCAGAATCTGTATTGCATGGTTTTAAAAGATTTTAAAATATTTTAAATGGGAGATTTGGGCCACAAGTAAAACCCAAAGCTCTAGAGAAAATAAACACTGATAAATATTACAAGCATTTTCTATTAATTTCACAGCTGTTCTATCCTAAAGCTTTTAGTTACAGAAAAACAAACTGATGCTTTGGGAACTCTCTGAACTTACACTGACTACTGTTTCAACGTTTACTTGATTTTCTCTCTAATTCTCCATGAAGAGAAATCAGGTATAGTGTGTCTATAATAATGATCCTACAGACCGAGGTTTTTTTAAATAAAATCTTCAGTTACATTGGTTTTCAAAATCCACATGCTTGTGCTCACATGTGCTCTACACAGTATTTTTTCAAGTGTGGACAATGATGAATAAATTATGCTACTTGAATAGAGATACTGAAGGCCCCCGGAAAGGATAAGCAAAAAAGATGGAGTTGGAATGTCCAGAAAAGAGACATTTCTAAAAGAATGAAAAGCAAAAAGTTCTCTCCTGAAACCAATAATTATGTGAGACAGCAGACTGTCGGGGATGACTTGTGCTGTCAGTTTGCATTACAAGCCTCAGCCCTTTGAAGGACAGATTTTGCACTGTGAGTGACCCTAACGTGTGTTATACTTGGATCTCTACCAAATAGAAGTCATAATAAAATACTATGCCCCATAGAATAGGTCTTACACCTTAACTGTTGTTTTTCACAACAGTCTGTCAACTGTAATTCTTAATTTATGGGAACTTTGCCCAAATGGAACAAAATGTGTCCAGTATTCACAAAAACTTCCAAAGAAGGTAGTGCTGTTCCACAGTAGCGTTTATCTCCTGGATTGGTTCCTTATCGATTCTGAACCATTAGATTCCTCTGGACTATATATAGATGCTATTACTAACAATCATGAGAACACATAGCATTTACCATAAAAGAAATGTCTACCAAGTTAGTTAGCAATACCACTGGTTTTAGAAATTCTATCAAAACCAGAGAAATAAACAAGGCCTTTGTCACATGGTAACACACAGATGGCATTACATCTCTAACACTTAGTATCTGAGGAAAGTTACAGTGCTTGACTCAGCTGCCTGGGTGACTGCTGGCTGCTTTCTGAAATCAGAGGTAGCTTGCCTGCTGTTCTGTATTTTACTAGTGCAAGTCATCAACCTAGCACAACTATACTTGAGTGATAGATTTGACCCTACTGAAAACCTGCTAACCCTCCTCTGACCAAACTACCTCCTAATGCCAATGTAAGGACTTCTGCTTAGCCCCTTTCTTTGCCCTTGTGTAATGTCACCTTTAATGAGACATTAATTTCCTTTTTTCTCTTTAGATAAATTTCTAACATATCTACTTCAGTGTGCATTGAAATATTTTTCTAGGCAATATGTAGGGAATCCATTAGCAGGAATCAATTGTCTCACTTCTGCATTGCTTTTCAGACACAGGGGCATTTTGCTAATACGAAATACTTAGCCATAGAACAGTACAATATACTAGCTCAGCTGATTTATTGAAACTATATTTTTGAGGGCTGGGTTTTTTCCTTTGGTGACTCATGTAATGTGGTGCCATTTAAACACTGTGTGTAGAACACATGCTTATTTGAACACTTCATTATTTGGCTCAAAGTAGTACAGTATATTGTTCTGTTTAGGGAACAAGTTTGAATTTACCATTGACTCCGGAGAACTTCACAATGTATTGTTGGGTCAAGGACAGGAAGCTGCAGCAGAAATAGCTATGGAAAAGGCATCAAAAGAAGGCCACTGGGTTACACTTCAAGTAAGTCAAAGCTCTTCATTACATCAGTGCTGCACTGCAGTGTTAAAAACTGAAGCTTTTCAAAATAGCATGTGCCTAGATGAAAGAGTACTAAATAGTGATTTAAAACTTCCTTTGTCTTTGCCACAAGGGAAGCACATAACTTCATCTGTATATGCAAGTATCACTGCATATCACATAAAATATGAATTGTGTGTAGGGAGTCAACTAACATATTTTCCCAAGCACACGGTATCTGATTTACTAATTTATTATCCATTAAAAAAAATCCTTTAGTAAATAAATGTGTAGCAAAAAGAATTGTTACGCTGTATAATCAGATGAATAGATACAAACAGGGAAGATTGCTGTCATTATGCAGTGTATTGTGCTAAACAGATGCACACGATTTTTTTCAAATATTGTGCAATATGAAACTGCTTCCTTATGTCTGGTTTTTCTTGTATCAATAAAATGTTTCAAATTTCAAATCAATAGCTCACTAGGAGGCCTATTTTTTCCTCCCTTCTCCCCCCTCTCCCTCCCCATCTCTGAATATTTATTTTGTAGTAAAGTGGCTGAACACATTAGAGAAATTACTGAAGAAAACCAGGGAAGGAAGTCAGCAGGGTGATCGGTTTTGAGTGTGAGGACCCTGCCACTTCCCCTAGAGCATATCTCATTCCCGGGTGGATTTGGGAAACCTCACATTAAAAAACCTGATAAACTACAACCAGTAATAATGTCTGATCACCATGCTGCACTGGATAAATTTGACTAGGCAAGCAAAACACCACAGAAATAAAACTTTAAAAATGTAAGCATTGAACTTCTCCTTTTAAAGCCACTTGAAACGGTGAAGTCACTAAAAGCCTTTACAGGGTATGCAGTAATAAAGCAGGATGCATTTAATTTCTTAAAGATTTGTTCACATATCCTAGAATGACTGCACATCTAACAGCAAAAAGAAAAAAAAAATCAAACAAGAAACTACTTCTTTTCATTTTAAAGCATCACATACAGTTTCTAGTTAAGTACATGCCTGTGCACGTGGGAATGAAAAATTTGCAGTCACTACAGTTAATTACTGTAGTACAGAATAAGAATTTTTTTTGGTTTTGTCTAGCTTAGTTTGATTTATCTTGAAATGCGAAACCATGCGGTTTTGTGTCTCTGCAATATTTTTTACATATTCTGAGCATGTAGTGCACAGAATTAGGTCTTCAGCTGAGGTAAATCAGTGAGGTTCACTACACCAATTTATATTGCTAAGGGTTTGGTCCAAAACGTTTGCATAGTACATAAGAGGAAAGCATGGTTTTGACTGCTAGGTTATGATATTTTCCTCCATCCTTTTTAATCTTTGTTTTGGAAGGCTTTTAATTAAAACAATTTTTGTTACTGACTCTTAAAAGATACAAACATAGGTGTATACAGGTAGTAATCATAAGCTATGATCAAAGATATGGTCAAAGAAATCAAGTATCTCTTTGGAATACATATCTGTACTAAAGAAAGAGCATCAACCTGAATGCTAAGAAACTCTCCAATTACAAAAAAAAAAAGAAAAAAAGAAAAAAAATTGCTTTTCGACAGTATATTCTAAAAAACCTCTGTGAAAATTATAAAGGCTTTTCGTCTTTTCCTCTTGTTTAGAATAACCTCTTCCAGCAATAAAGATGGGAAGAACGGCCAGCCACCCGCGCAGCGGAGGGAATGTCACCCAAAGTGCTGACAGACATACGCACAAAGAAAGCCGCGGCTGCAGCCACGGTCGACCCACACGCTTGTCGCCAAACTTCTGCCGGCGGGCAGTGGCTCCGCCGGCCCCGCAGCCCGCCGGCCCCCGCCGAGGGCCCGGCCCCTCGGGCCCGCGGGCGCCGCCTTCCCGCGCCGCCCAGGGTTGCGCTCGGCATATCTGGTTGGGCCGGACCGTTCCCCCCGGCCTCGGCGCTCTGCCCGAGAGGTCGTCACCTCCCTCGGCTCCCCGCGGGTACCTGCCGGGCCGCCCCAGGCAGCCGCCCGTTGCCCTGTCCTCTGCCCGTGCCCTGCCCCGTGGCGCGGCGGGCCGGCCGGGGCCGGGGCCGGGGCCGGGGCCGGGGGCCGGGGCCGGGGCCGGGGCCGGGGCGGGGGCCGGGACGCGTCCGGTCAGCGGCGGCGCGTTCCCGGAGCCAGAGCGCCCCCTGCCGTCGGCACTCCGCTCCGGCAGGTGCCGCGGGCCGTGGGAGGCGGCGGACGGGGGAATCGTGGCTGAGGCTCGTGCTGCTGCTGTGGCGGGTGGCTGGTGGCTGGCTCGGCCCCGGGGGAGGAGCACCCGGGGAGAGCGTGTACCCCCCGGGCCTGACCCCGGGCAAGCCGCTGCGGGGTGTGACGGCAGGCCCCACCTCCGGGGGAGGTTCCCTCTGTCGCAAAAACGGCTCGTGTAACGCTGTGGTGAGTTGGGGGCGTAACGGGATTTCCCCAGCAGGGCCGCACCCCCGGCACCCCGGCTGCCAACAACCCAGTTTGCCGGCGGGAGAGCTCGTAGCCCGCCCCCGGCCGGAGCCTCCCGCCCGGGTGCCTGCCTGTGTGAGCCCGGTCGTTTTCCAGCGCAGGAGCCAGCACGGCTGGATCGGTTTCAGCAAACCCGAGGCGCATCCCGCACTTCCTCCCGCAGTTTCCACCGGGGGGACAGGGGTGTGACATGAGCAGGAGCCAGCCCCGCAGAGGTCACAGCCCTGCGGGGCTGGGGCGACCCGGCCGAGCCGGGGTTTGTGCCTGGAGGAAGCAAACAGGGGCATGAACGGGCACGCTCTGCTACTCATTTAAATGGCCACAAGCACACGGCTCTTCCTGAGGAATTACATTAAACGGACTTGGCCGTTTAATAAACCAGCCCCTGGCTCCCTGCAGCGGTGACCTCTGATCCCTTAGCAATTCAATGATTCCTTGCAGTGCTGTGCCTGCAGGGCTGGGGCCGAGCGGCGATAATGACCGAGGGGTCGTGGACGACAAAACTATTCGGTAAGAGGGAGGTAGAAAAGCCCTCTCCCTTCCACCTCTGTGGGGCATTAGGGGATTATCGCCGCCTGTGTCGGTGGCCATGCCTGGCGGACGGAGGGACCCTCACTGAACTCGGGGTTTGTCAGATGGTGATGGTGGCAGGTAGCAGGACAGCCCCTTCCCAGCCCATGCACGCCAAGGGCGGCTGACAGGGGTGGCTCACAGCCCCTACCCTCACTTAACACATTTGCCATCTCACCTCCTCCTCCTCCCCCGCAGCCCCGAGCAAGGCAGGTGTAGGAAGCTCCCAGCGCCACATCCGCACCCTGTCCCTGAGATAGAGGCGCGCCGAAGAAGGAGGCGGGAGTGCATCAGGCCCTGTGCACACAAGGTAGCAAGCCCTGGGCTCCCATCTCTCTCCTCCCCAGGCGCCGGTGCCCCCAGCTCACCTGCAAGCCTCGCACCATCCGGCCGTGGCTCTCCTTCCCAGGCTGCCAGGAGTCTCCCGCTGCGAGGAGGAAGGAGAAGCATCAGAGGAGACATGGGGAACGAAAGGACGAGATCAGAAAAAGGAATAAAAGAAGGAAATGTAGCGAACACTAAAAACAAGAGGAGGAATTTTCCCGGGGGGGGAGAGGGAAGTGCCACTTACACGAGCTTTTTTCCCCTACAATGTCTGCAAAAATTCTGACAATGCACGTGCTCGTTTTCCCTTTCCCATCCCACACAAACCTGTTGTTGTTTTACTTTCATTATTTCACTTTGTTGCATCAGAAATGCTGAATCATAAAACGGGGGTTAGTGAAAATGGTATTTATCTTTAAAGGAATAAGCCCCACATTATTTTAAAGATCCCCACGCTACTGCTGTTATTATTATTATTATTATTATCATCATCGTGCATCTTGGCAGGTTGAAAGGTATCTCAGAACAGTAAGAATTCAGCAGTAATTTAACATCCCACAGAAGTACTTTAAAAGCATCAAATAGCATTTTGAATTTTAAGTCAGTACAAGTGTAAATAAATGGATGTACTCCCACATGTCTGTTGTTTTTAAACTTGTGGTGATACTAAAATATTTGCCTAACAGCTTTGAGTTGCAGCAGAATTTCAGCTCATATATACAAATGCGTGTGATATTGAATTAAAGCATTTGTCATTCTTTTTCCATAAAAGACACAATTTGGTTCTCAGCAAACCATTTGAAATAGAAATTATGGTGATGATACCACAGCTCCATTTTATTTTATGGTACTCTATTGATTTTCAAATAGACAATACATGTATTTTTGTAATGGTCTAAAAGAAGATATTCTGCCTTTTTATTTTACAGTCCTTATGCTATTACCTGCTTTCATTTCAATAAAGGATGGCATTTTTCAGAGATGCTACCATAAATTGCTTCATTTAATAAGTTGCTACACAGAATAATAATGTTACACCAGAGAGCAGCACTTTGTAATTTGGAAGAAATAATATTTTTCTTTTAAAATATTTCTGTCTCTTTATCTTTTAAATTAAAATTATCTTTTTGCTGTTTTCTTTCAGAAGGATAATCTGATTATTAGAAAATTCTTTTTTCTTTTTCTTGCAAGCATTGGAACTTGGATGTGACATAAAGAGGCTAATTAAAATGGGGAACAAATTAGATTAATTTCCACGGATATTAAAGTGATATAAAAGTCTTGTTCTCAACAGTGACTCCATAATAGAACAATTTCATTTATGCCTAAGCAGGTCCTTATTCTGTCTAGTGAGGATTGCCACCAGTGTCTTACTGACAAGGTTTTTATTATTTCTTTGACAGTTTGATAGTAAGTCAGTGCTTGCTTCTGGGTTTTCAGTCTCTTCAAACCTGGATTATGAAGGCTACTATAAAAATATGGATAAAATGCTACCTCCCCAGAGCCCCATCCGTTATGGCCTGCACCCCAATGTGGAGATTGCTTTTGTAATAACTGCAAACAACATGCTCCATATGCTATTAGAGCTGCAATTCAAATACTCAGTCACTGGGAAAGGAGTCTCCCAAGCTGTGGAAGACAAGGTCAGTCAAAACATAGAGCAGGCTGCAAATTTGTCACAAGATGGTGTGATGTCAGTGGTTTTATGTTTAGGGGCTTTTTTCTCTCCCGTGGCCTTTTTTCTCTCTAATTCAATAGAATTAGACATTTTCATACCTGTTTTTTACAGGGATTCAATCTGAAATTTGCAATGAGGGATCTCTAGTATACGTGAGCCATAACTATATGCATTATTTTGCACCACAAAGAAAAAAGATCTTGCTAGACTGTTACAATATATTAATAGTGTTAGGCCATTTAGGATCCTTTGTCAGGTTGCAAAATGCCATTATTTCCAAACTATAAGGCAGAATTTGCTTTTCTTCCTAACAGCATGGTCCTGCACAAGTCTTCCGCTCCTTCTCTATTTCACAGGATAAATGCTCCACATCCTTCATACTGTGACATAAGGCAGTAGAAGTGCTTTCACTACATAAAGATACACGATGTTTATAATTTCCTTTACATTTGTGCAGAAGGGGATACACAAGACACTTGCCTCATGCAATGTGGTATCTCTTGAGGATGAAGGCAGAGCTAGATGACATAGAGAAAAAAAAATCTTTCAGAAGAAAGTGAGATCAGTTATTTAATCCAAACACCAGAAGAATGCTACTCACATAAGCTGATTTGTTTTCCAGAATATGAGACTGGATCTGCTTATATATGAGGTAAGGCATTCTCTTCAAGAACTTAATTTAGGTTCGAAGATATGTGTGCTTTGCTTTACTAATCTCAGGGGATGCATGGGTTTAAACAGCATGAGTGTAGATGCCTGTAACAGGCATTGTGAGTGATACTTGGTGAGCTTATTTCTGATTTCATTGATTAAAAAGTTGTGCTTTCATAAGCTGCCTACTCCAAACATATAACTCATCTCCATATATCAAATGATTTGTTTTAATTTGTGTGAAAAAAATTATCATGAAACTACTTAGAAAACTAAAATCCTCTTTTTCTCTGCGTGCTAGGAAGCAAAATGCAAAGCCCTTGATTATGGTCTGACTCCTGTTCCAGTGCAGACATGGAGGTAAGGTTGGGACATTCTTCTTTTCTGCCATTGCAGAAATTTGGCTCTACTGTTTACAACTGCTAGTTACGGTGTGTGTTCACATGTGTTTTGGGCAATCCATAGGAGAGAAGGGAGCTGTTTGATGCTTTAGAGACCCTCTGGTGCTGAAAACGAACTCTGCTTCATATAGATCCCCGCTGGATAAGGCACACAATCCACATTGTGTTAAATGTCATCAGTATGTGGCATTTGGCTGTCATTTGGAGATCGCCATTAACTGCAGGTAAAGGTGCAGTATCAGTAACACCCAAGTCCTGATCTCACTGTGCATGTATTGAGTGCGATGAACGAGGTAAGAGGGACATGGGGAACTCATTGCATATCTTTGGCAGTTTTTGGTAATAATATGTCTCTCAACATCAACGAAGTGCTGAGTAGCAACATGTAACATTCTTAACCAGAGACAGCCAAATTTTCATAATATCTAGAAATCTCAAACAGTGATGTACCTGCTGCACTAACATTTAATATATGTTCAACCATGGAATTGGGCAATCAAGTAGCTTGCTAGCATTTTACACAGACAATTGTGGTATATGCATGCAGAGCTGTAGTTAATGTATACCACACAAAAACTAGGTACTGAAAATCTAATTCATAGGGCTAGTATTTTTAAGGGACCTCCTTTTTCACCACCTGAAAAATTACCTTTCTTTCGATCTTTAATTCAGAGTAACAAAACATGGGCATTCAAATAGCCATTAGTGCAAGCAAGCCAGCAGAATAGTAGCTTGATTGCATGTACAATTTTCTGTGGGATATCTGAAAGCAAGTTAGTAATTTGGCCCTTTATCATTTTCTCCCTGTACGTATGCGTAGGTGGGTGCTTCCATGCGTACGTATATGAATTACTATATCATATAATTACTTAATGCAATTAGAGTGATTCTAAGAAATACAGAAACCTCAGAACCTACACTCTTGTTTTTCTAACTGTTTCCCCTTTTTAAAAAATAAATTACTCACCCCAGTTGCAAGAGCCAAAATATTCTTTACACTTGATGATTTAGCTACCTTATGTGTTTTTACTGGGGAAAAAAAAGCCCTCTATCATTTATCATGTCATCTTATCACAGTCTCTTTGTGAGACGCAAATAGCACACTAATGTTTTCTTTTGTTAGGGTGAGTTGGCAATCTCCTCAGAGATGGAGCAACTACAGACAGCTCTTTTTTTTGATAATCTTCCTGACACTTGGATGAGACTGGCTTATCCATCAACATACAGTTGCTCAGTGGTAAGTTGCATGCCAACAGTCATTCAGTATGGATGGCACTTCATGTCCATCATAAAAAAATAGAATTCAAACTAAAGAATTTTTTTGGCAAATATCTTACCTTCTTGTGTAACTCAGAATAGCTTTTTATCATAAACTGATATTACCAGTGTTATGAAAAGCAGAAAGAGCCTTGCATTTACCTTGCCAATTACTGCAGGCTTTGAAAGATTTCTCTAGAATTTGCATTCCCACTCCTTCCTTGCTTGCTTTTGTCTCGAGCTGCGTGCGTTGATCAAATAGATTTGACAAGTGCTGTAGTACATAGTATCTCCTACTAAGAAGACCAAGCTTGCTTTCTTGTGTCTTTTCGGATCAGAATTTGTAACAATAGAACAGTACTGCTCTAAGCTCAAGGGTGAAATGGTCATCAGAAGAAGTAGCAATTAACAAAGCAGCTTGCATTAAGAACATAGAAAAGTTTCAGAGCAAGCCTTCTGTTCATCTTAATTGAACGTATCTTAAGATGTGTCCCTCTACCTAGTCTACACAACTGTTTTGTAATACCAAAAATGAAACCGTAAACAAGAAGTGAAAGCCACGCAATGCTGGCAGATTATTTACTTGCTGGCACACATTCAACTCTCCACAGGAGCCTCCTGAGTAAGGCATAGAGCCACTGACTGATGGAGTGAACGAGGACTGGAGAGCTGACCAAAGGACAGGAAAGCTCTGCCAAGCACAAAGACAGGTAGCACTAGAAGGCAAAACAAGCCCACTCTCCTGAGATCAGTACAGACTTCTGAGAGATCAAAAGTGGAAGAAGAAATCTTGTTCATCAGAAGACACATTGAGAAGAGCATCAGAGGTACATTGTAGTGAAGATCAATCATAGCTTTACAGAATTAAATGCTCTTTTAGCTTCCCTTGATGGAAAACTAAACCACCATAGAGATACTGTGATGTCTGTGATAAATATATGTCCTGAAGACAGAAGCGTTGCCTAGGGGATATAATGCAGTAATGCTAAATTACAAGCTGTTTTCCTGAAGGACGACACAGCTGCTTTCTTTAAAAAAATGTACGGGGGAATCAAGCTGGACCTTGTACTCATGTTTGGACAAAAGAGGGTAAAAGTACCCACTGATTATATAAAAGCTGTCTTGTAGAACTAGTAGGATTTAAGGTGACAGGTTATCTTTTACCATCAGGTGCAAAATGCAGTGAGTCACCAGGGAGCAAAATCATTGCTGTGACACTGTGCTATGCAGCTGGGCTCCAAAACAGCCTCTCTGCTGGAACAGAGCATGTATGGGGATGGACTGCAGAACAGGTGAAAGGGAGGTCTGCCATGAGCACCAGAGAGGTTATGCATGAACATGACTAGTGGTCAGCTTTGCCTGGCCATCAGTCCCTTGGGTTTGGGGAGATGAAGAAAAAACACAAAAACCAGACTGAAAACAAAACTTGAATCATTGTCTTGTCTAAAACCCCACAGTAATTGTTGTCTGGAGCAGGAGCCATGAGCTTCCTTCGGGGAAGAACATCCTCTCTATACCACTCTGTTATGCACGCTGCAAAGCACAAGAAGGCCTCAGTCATCATGATAGTTTTATCCTCCCCGTTTTTAAACCCCTCCATCTCATATACCTACCTGACATGCCTATCTGAGCCATCAGAAAAAAACCCTTTGATTTCTAATCAGTTGCCATTTCAAAGTAAGGTGGGACAGGGTGAGGAAGGTAAATGGAAAAAATCTGAATACGTGCACAGTTTAAGTATCTTGGGCTCAGCAAATGTGTCATAAACAGCAAACACAAGTGATTAAATGACAGAGATTATGTCAGATCACCTAATAATCTCAGATCTTCAGTTTATCTTCAGATCCTTTTCCATGTCTCTGAAATGAACATGAATTCTGTTAATGCTTCCCTTTATAAAGTCATCCTATATGTCACCCAGTGTTTCATGTTTCTGTGGAGGAGTCGCCTCTTGCCCCTTACCCAGCAGTCTCCTGTCTCTGGCTTAGAGACAGTCAACTATCCCCAAGGCAGGTATGTCTAGCATTTCTTAACAGCAGCTTGTTAGGAAGCAAGAAGCAATACCAAATACTGCCAAAAAAAAAAAAAAAAAGACCTCAGCGAGAAAGGTGGGAATGTGATGCCAGCAATGTTAAATGGGGTAAAAGGAAAAAAACCAAGTTGATAAGTTGATGCTTTGTTTTTCAAGCCATAGAAATTCAGAGAAAAATCCAACAGATAGGGAAATAGAGTGTGGATGGAAGAGAAATATTGGAAACTTGTGTCACAGGTCATCCAGCTTTCTGGAAATCCACAAAAGACCAACAGTGGGATGCCTTAACAGAGGCAAAAATGTTTGGGTTCTGGGCTGTGACTGCATTGACAGGCAATAGCTGGAGCAGGCTGAGGTGACAGCAGCAGTAAATGAGGATTTGAAAGGAGACATTACATGTAGACAGGATGAAGTGCAGGGGCATATAAGGAGTGGAGGGTGGCAGGAAGGGGGGGTAGGAAACCACAAAATGTACAAGCTGCCAGAAGAGGGGATGTTCATTCCCTCTTTGGAAGATATTCATGATAGACAGATACAGGCTAAGAAACTATTCCCTGAAAACTCAGGGTTATGGCACTGACTCCCTTGCAGGCTAGAAAAATACATGCTTGAAAGGAAAAGGCCTTCAGGGTAGGAGTGTTTGTTATTTGGGGTTTTAAACTGACAGAATCTGCTGCTGACTTGTAAGGTGGGGAGGTATTAACTCCTGAGAAGGAGGAACAAAAGGCAGGGATTGCAATCCTGTAAGAAAAGACAAGGAGCATTGCAAGTAGAGGTGGGCTGGTCCAGAGGGGGGGGTTAAGGATATTCATCGAGTGCTTTGAGATGAAACATGCTGTGTGTTCGCAAAGGTGTCTGTCAGTCAAGTGGGGGAGCAACATTATGACAACCTCTCTTCTAGGAGCAGCAAAGACCAAGATTTTTTCCCTGCAAAGCCAGCCAAGAAATTACTGAAATGGCTGTTTTAACAGTCAAAGCTAACAGGGAGAGAACAAAAGAACTCCAGATGCACATACACACACATCCATCCATCCATCTATCCATGTCCTCCTATGGCCTCCGATGAGCCAACTTCCACTTAAAGAAAGTCTCTTGCATTGGTGAGAAAACAGGCAGCAAATTATTTTGCTGCTGTAAAACTTAAAATTATCTAGGTTTCAGGGACAAGTGTGAAATGGGTGTAACTTGCATGAAAATTTCTGAGAGCACTGTTAAGTCTAATGCACAGGGAATAGCAGAAAGGAGGTTAGATTTCTTTTGAGGGAGCCACTCTTGTTTCCTGAATACTGACTTGCTGTCTTACTTACTACCTCTCAAAGCCCAGCTGCTGCTGTGGCTCCTTGAGATAGACAGACAGGTTCCAGAGGGGCTGATCTGAAAGCCCACAAGCACACAATATTGCTGCACTTGCTGTTATTCATTTGTCAGTATTTAATAACAAATACAAATGCAGAGCTGTGCTGAAATCAAAAAAAGATACTTCATTTGGAAAAAACTTTTAATATGAGGAAGTTGCTTGTTAAACAGAGAGGAATTTGTTGTTCAGCTGCACTCAAAACACAAGAAAAGAAAAAAAAAACAATAATGTGTGCCAGGGCAAAAGTACCACTGTCTTGGCAAGAAAAAGAAACATTTGCAAGCTCCTTTCAAACAATGGGGAAGAAAATGAACTAGAAAAACTGCCTGATGGGCTGCTGAGAAGAATCTTCCTCCCCCCACTACACCCACTGATTTTTGTGTTTTCTTATATCCAGATAAGATAGACAAATGGTACAACAAATAATATCTGACACACAAGTGTACCTACATGGTATCAAGAACAGAATTTAGAGTGGGTTGAACTCCTTGAATTCAATGGCAATCACATAAGCAGCAAAAATTTAATCAACTACCACTATTCCTTTCCATCAGAAGACACTGAAAACTCTGTGAGCTTTTTCACACAGTTACTATCCCAGTACAGGCTGATACAAACTGAAAAAACCCAATACAAAACACCCTGAAACGCCCTGAATTCCAGGTTGAAGATCAAGGTGAGAAGAAACCTTAAGTCAGGCTGTCAAACATCTGAAGTAACAAGTTTTCCAGTGTTTACTCTGGTCATTTTCCCCGTAGTTGATAACCTTAATAAATTACCCCTAATCCTTCATCAGAAGTCTGCCCTTCTTCAGTTTTATCCCAAGTTCCTAGTTGGCAGCTTCTCAAATTGCCCTTAACATTTTGGAGCTATTGTCACATACTGCAGATGAGGGTCAGAATTCCCTATTGCCAGCCTATTAGTTTGTATCTCCTTTTAATCCTTCTCCTACACAAAATAAATATCTAAATATTGCCTGTATCAAAGTAAATATTTTAAAACATACATGCTTAACTTGGAGCAGGTGGGAGGGGTGGGCTGCAGTTGTTTGCGGCCTAGGAGCTTCGCTTTACTGGATCCTTCCTAGCCTGATAGGTGCCAGGTGTGAGCTCACACACAGTATTCCAGGTACAAAGTGCATCTAGGTCCTTCACAGTGTCTGTGATTCCTGACCTTCTACACCCAGTTTGCTTCTAAACAATTTGAAAGCAAGAACACTCTTTTCAAACCCTCAGTGTTCCAGCATTTGCTAAGCAGTACGCATTCTATTCGTGAACACTTTCACTGCAGGTTAAAATTCTCAGATGCAGATGATACAATGCACTAAGAAGTATTGGCTGGGGAAAAAAACCCTGTCATACATAGCAGGACTACTGATAATGTGCAGTGTATTACACTACAGCAAAAATGACTAATATCAAAGCTAAACAGGAATGATTTGTATGGTTGAGACAAGTAGAATAAAACATGTATTTTAACTAAATCAGTTTTTAGGAACACCAGGCACAGGTTAATCCTTTATAAATATGTTCACAGAGCACATTAGACACCAGCCCGCCTACACAAAATGAATGCAGCACACACTCTGATGTATTACAGAGGCAGGATAAATGAGGGAACTCTTCTGTGTTTGATCTGGTTCTGCTCTGTAATTCAGAGATACTGGAGATGGGTGGTGAGTTTCTCATTGATCCCAAAAGAACCAATAATCTTGAATCCTGTGAAATGTAAGCTTTGTAGAGGATTGGAGGCTATGCACGAAGGACATTGTAGCTTTAGGGGCATATTCTCTTCTCGTGAATGTGTGTAACTGGCTTTCACAAGAGTCATACATATCCTGGGGAAACTAGACTCTGTAGCTTAACAATACTGAAAACACATACCTAGCTCCACAGGCACTTATATCGCTCTCATGGTTATATCTGCATCCAGTTATAAAGGATAGATTTCTAGCAGACAATAAATGAACCTGCAAATGAATGTCTTCAGAATTTTGAAACAATGCTAAATTTGACACACATCAGCATTTAAAAATGCAGCAGAATGCAGCCAGAACATCAATCCAAGATATTTTAGATAGAAACCACAGGGCTAGCACATAGATGTGGGAATAATCAATTCAATTCCCCCCCACCCCCCCATTCTTTCCAGCTTTTTAAACCACTTACACCAGTCCTTGCTTCTCTGAACTGTATTTTGCATATGGTGGAGGTGTTAATGCACAGTTACTGCACAACAGGGTTGTGAATTTTAGCTAATGAAAGCTTTTAAAGGCACAATGAAATGCTCAGATGAAAGGCAACAAAGAAGTGCAAAGTATTATTAC